GCCGCCGCCACCCGCCGAGCCGCTGCGGCTGCGCCGCCTCGCCTGCCGACACATGTGGCCCCTGACCCTGCCTGAACACCCCAACACACTCCCCCTGACACCTGCCCACCGCCGCCACCACCACCGCCGCCTCCGCCGCTGCCACCAGAACCACTGTCACCACTTTCATCACCCTCCCCCCCACCACCCCACCCACCTGTATGTGGGCGCCCAGGGTGATTGTGGAGTTGCCCGCAGCCAGCGCATCCCACAGCTGGTCCTCGGTGTAGACCCAGGAGGCCGGGTTGGGGGGCGCGGGCGGGGAGGGCGGCGGCGGCCGCGGCGGCGCGGGCGGCGAGGGCGGCGGCGAGGTGTAGAGGGGGTAGGAGGGCCACTGCAGGGGGGTGGATGGGGGCCAGGGAAGGAAGGCCGGTGAGCGTGTGGGCGGCGGCCGCAGGCTGGGCAGATCTGATCCATGGACGGTCGGGGAAGGGCTTGGAGGGGGCGAAGCAGCAGCAGAGCAGAAGCAGTAGCAGCAGGAGCAGCAGCAGCAGCAGGAGCAGCAGCAGCCGCAGGAGCAGCAGGAGCCTCACGGCACCGCGCAGGCCGGCATGCCCCCACTGCACGCATGCGGGGCCTGCGGGCCTCACCGATGTGGCGGAGTAGGGGGCCACCACGGACTCGGGGTACACCTCTGCAGGGAAGAAAGAAAGATAAGAAAGAAAACAAAGAAAGGCAGGCAGGCAGGGGAGGTGGGCGGGCGGCGGTGGGGCGAACCGCGGCGGGCAGCGCGGTGGTGCGTGCGGCGGGGAGGCGAGCGGGCACGCCCTGGCCCCGGGCTCACGTGCGGAGGTGGGGTACGGGTTGAAGTACGCGGGCGTCGCCACCCAGCTCTCCATGTAGATGTCGTTGCCAAACACATCCGCCTTGTTGCCCTGCGGCAGCAGGGGCGCAGGTGCGCGCGTTGTGCGTCCGTGTGTGGAGGTGCGGCACCGGCATGCGGCACGCGGCGCGCGCGGCGAGCAGAGCAGCAGCGCGCAGGGGCGGCACGGGGGCGGCGCGGCCGGACGCAGAGAGGCGGAACCCGGGCAGGGCCGCCTCGCCGCCGTCCCCAAGCGCAACACCCCGGAGCTGGGTGCCCGCTCCCCTCCCCTCCCTCTCCACCCCAGCCGCACATTGAAGGTGCACCCATTAAAGTAGATGCCGGTGGAGGACTGGCCCACCGCCACCGCGCCACCGCTGGGCGCCGCGTTGCTCTGGAACTCCACCGCCGTGAAGCCGGCGTTGGAGGTGAGGTAGGCGGCGCCGCCCGCGCCGTACTCTGCAGTGGTTTAGGGGGGGGGGGGGGGCTGGGCAACGCATCATTGGATGTGTCCACGAGTGTGTGCATGGGGCGTGCGGGGATGTGTGTATGTGGGTGGGGCCTCCTATGCTGATGTTTCGGCATGTTTCGGCATGTGTGCTGCGCTCGCGGTTCCCATGCAGGGCCCGATGCACGGCCAGGGCAGCGCGCACTCACGCGCCGAGTTGCCCTGGAACAGGATCTTGTTGAAGAGGCCGATGGCGCCGTCCTGCGGGAAGCGCGGCCCGGCGCGGCGCAGCTCAGCGCGATTCGCATGGCACGATCAGCACGGCATGGCACGGCATGCCCAGCGCAGCACGCCGCAGCACAGCACGCCGCAGCACAGCACGCCGCAGCGCAGCTCGACAAGCACTGCTGGCCGCGCTATGGACGTTTGTTCTATATTTTGGGTGCGGCGCGCTATGGCCGCACCTGCAGCGCCACCGCTCCCGCGCCGTTGATGGCTGAGTTGGACACAAACTGGCAGTTTTCAAACTCCGCCTGCAGGCGGGCAGGCGGGAAGAAAGGACAGCGAGGGGGTGGGGGAGGGAGGGAGGACAGCGGGCAGGGAAGAAAGGACAAGGGCAGGAGGGAAAGGACGAGGGCACGGCCGCGGCGGCAAGCAGGCTCTCCACCCCAGCCCCGCCGTCCCTGGCGTGCTGCCTGTCCTGCCATCCCCACCACCATCTGCCTGCCCGCGTGCCCACCAACCATGCTACCTCCACCACCGCCACCGCTGCCGCCACCACCACAACCGCTGCCGCCACCACCACAACCGCTGCCGCCACCACCACCACCGCCACCACCACACACCACCACCGCCACCACAGCCCACCTGGATGCGGCCCTGGTTCCAGAAGGCGCCGCCCAGGCCCTGCGCGGCGCCCCCCGTGAACCGAATGTTCTCCAGGGTGACGAAGAAGGAGGGCATGAAGACGGCGTTGTCGACGTGCAGGATGCGGCCTGCAGGGGGAGGGTGGGCGTGCATGTGCATGTTTGTTTGTGTGTGTGTGTGTGAGCGTGAATGCGTGTGTGTGTGAGCGCGAGTGCGCGCGTGTGTGCGCGCGCGTGTATGTGGTGCCCCGCAGCCCCGCAGCCCCGGCCCGCCACCGCCCGCCCGACATCGCCCGGCAGGCAGGCGGCCGCCGCCCCTCACCCAGCGCCTTGCCGTCCAGCAGGCATCGCCCGCCAAAGATGTCGTCGTTGCAGTTTCCGGTGATGGTGACCGAGGCCTTGACGGCGGGCAGCACAGACTGCAGCGGTGCAGCAAGAGGGCAGCGAACAGGGCGGCCTTGATGGCGGGCAGCAGCACAGACTGCGGGACGCAAGAGGGTACGCGTCCGGGCGGCCGGTGGCGAGGGCTGCTAGCGCTCGCCAAGGGCGGGCGGCGAGGCGGCGAGGCAGCGGCGGCATCAACGTCACCCCCGCCGCCAAGGCACCGGCGCCACAGCCGAGGCGCCAGCGCCGGGGAGCCGCACCTGCAGGCCCTTGTATGCCCCCGTCAGCCCGATGTGTGCGTCCAGTCGGATGAAGCGCTCCTTGTTCATGATCGCCTCGGCCAGCTCCTTCTCGGTGGTGACGCTCACGGCTGCGGGCACAGCTCGCACAGCAGGGGCAGCGTGGGAGCGGCGGTTGGCAGGTGTGGAAAGGGGGCAGGGTGGAGGGGCCAGGCCGGCGGCGGGAGGGGAGGGCTGCGCAGGCCGGCGGCGGGAGCGCGCGGCGCAAGGCAGGCACGCGGGTGATGCAGAGCCCCGGGCAGCGGCAGCAGTCCTGGCGGCGGCGGCGGCGCACTGTAGGCCTGCTTGAGCTTGCGGCTGCGCCGCGGCTGCTCCTGGCTGGCGGCCACCGCCCGGCCGGCCGGCGCCTCCTGGTCCCGCCGGTGTACAGCCTCCATCCACTCGCTCACAACACGCTCGTCGGCGCCCATCCCTTGCCGCCGCTGCGCCTCGCCAGCCTCGTCGGCTGTGGGGTGGCCCAGCTGGCGCGTGGCCGCCGCCGCCGCCGCCGCCGCCGGCCGCTCCTGCGCCTGCCGCCGCTCCTCCTCACCCTCCCACACCTGGTGCAGCTGCGAGGGGTCTGCGCCCTCTGCAGGCTCTGCCAGCAGGGAGAGGCGGCGCAGCTCGCCGCCGCGCGCTGCAGGCAGGGGGAGGGCATTGCGGCGCGCGGGGCAAAGGGCAGAGGCGGGCAGCCGTCACAACGATGTGGCGCCCTGCCGCCGACTCGCCCTCCCACAGACCACACACACGCACACACAGAACATCGTCACCACCACCATACCATCGCTCGCACACACCCGCCGCCTATCACCACCACCACCGCTGCAGCACCCACCACCACCGCCAGACCACCACCGCCACTGCCAGCACTCACCAGACAGCTCCCCGGCCTCTGGTAGAGGCTCCAGGTAGGCAGCGCTGTGCTCGCCGTCAGTCAGAAGCAGGTCTGCGCCCGCGCCCGGCCCGCCGCCGCCGCCGGCCAGGCGGTTGCCGCCCAGGCGGCAGCGCGAGGCGGTCAGGCGGGAGCCGCCGGACAGGCTGACGCCGCCGCCCTCGGCCGCAGCATTGCCGTACAGGGCGGTGCGGCGCAGGCGCAGCGTGCCGCTGTGGGAAAAGACGCCGCCGCCAGCTTGCTGCAGGGGGCGGGGGCGAGCGGCGTGCCTAATGATTGCCCGCACAGGGCCCCGGGCGCAGCTTCCACAGGCAAAAACGATTCAGCGCCTGGGCTCCCGACCGCCGCGCCGAGGCGAGCCGAAGCACCGCCCTCCGCCACCCGGCCAGCCATGCGAGCTACCAGCTTGGCTCCCCCCCGCTTCCCTCTGCCTCTGCCAATAAGCTAAAGAAAGAAAGAAGCGGGGGCCCACCTGCGCCGTGTTGCCCACCACCTCGCAGCCTGTCAGGGTGAGGGTTGCGTGGGAATCCACACGCGCCGCGCCGCCGCTGTCGGCCGCGTTCCCCGTCAGCCGAACGCCCACCAGCTCGACCATGGAATGGTTGGAGGCGGTGAGGGCGCCCGCCAGGCTGCCCTCCCCCACGCCGCCCATCAGCTCGAGGCAGGCCAGCTCGACGAGCGCCGCGGGGCCGCTGACGTGCAGCAGCGGCAGCGGGCGGGCGGCGTCGCCGCCGCCGGCCAGCACGCAGCAGCGGCTGCCGCCGGCGGCGGCCGCGCAGTTGCCCTGCAGGCGGACGGGCGTGGTGATGGCCAGCGGGGCGCTGAGCTGGATGTCGGCCGTCAGCTGCACCACGCGCCGGTCGCGCCAGCCCAGGTCGCCGCCCGCCAGCGCCGCCCGCAGCTCCCGCTCGCTGGCCACGACGATGGCCTGGTCTGCGGGCGCCGGCCGGAACTCCAGGTCCGCCGCTGGTTGTTGCAATCCTGTGGGCACCGTGTGCAGCGCGGGGCAGGCTGTCAGGGCGGGTGCAAGCGGGAGGGGGAAGCAGTTGAGTGGCAGCGGGGTGGGGCGGGCCCCACAGCGGCCCACCGCACCTGCCACTAGCGCCGTGAACAGCAGCAGCTGCGCTGCCAGCGCTGGACGCAGCAGCATCACTGCAGCCGCACGCGGCGAGCCACCGCCCAACACTTGAAGCAGCCTAGTGCAGCGGGGCGGTCCTAGCACTGCATTTCAACACTCTATACATGCAGATGCACTGATCAATGGGCCTGGGGAGGCCTGGCAACAGGAGGAGTTGCACAGGTGGCAGCCATGGCTAGCCACTCAAACAAGAAGGCCCTGTGCAGCTCGATTGAATGCCCACCGATGCGGGAAGCGGCGCCGGCAACGGATCTGCTCAAAGCGCAGCCATCGCCCTCCAAGCCAGGCCGGCGGCAGCAGGTGCCGACAGGCGGGAGGCATGCAAGGCGAAGCAATGGCCCCTCGTCTGCCTCTGCACCTACTCTTACAGATCAAGAATCATCCCTTCTGGTTTTGGGGCGCACGGAAGCGCTGTGCTAGAGACAGCACGCGGCCCTTGGGCGGCGGCGCTGTTGTCGCCGCCACCGGGCTGCTGCCAGCCGCCGCCCCCAAGCCCGCTGCTCCCGGCGGCGACGAATCTGGCAGGAAGCCGTCCAAGCTGTCTGCGCCTCCCTCGCCGCCCCCCGCAGCCAGCTGCTGCTGCCGTGCTAGAAAGCTCTTGGTGGGAGTGTCGCTGCTGCCTGCTGCGGCCACCGAGTGTCGGGCGGGCCGCTGGAGCAGCAGCAGCTGTGCTGGCGGGTGCTTGGCCACATCTTCCGAGTCCACTCCGGGCCGGTAGCGGGCGCTGCGCACGCTGCTAAATGCGCTCCTGCACAGGTAGGGCGCCCCAGCTGCAGCAGTGCCCGGGGGCGGCAGCCCCTGCCGCCCTGGCCCCTGCTTGCCGCCGCCGGCTGCCTGCCGCAGCTGCGCCAGCCGGCGCAGCGGGTCCCCGGGCGCTGCCGCTGCCTCGGATGCCGCGTGCGGCAGCGCGCCGCTGGCGGGCGCCGCAGCCGGCAGCACTGCGCGCAGCGAGGGCAGGCTGCTCTCCGCCGCTACAAGCGGCCGCTTGGTGAGCGGCAGCTGCGGCGAGGCGTGCTGCAAGACTGAGGGCGAGGCATGCAGGGCGCCGCTCGCACTCGTCACCCGCCGCTGCAGCAGCAGCTGCTGCGCCTGCTGCACCTGCCGCGCTCGCTGTAGCGCGCCCCCCGGCAGCCCGGCCCTGCCGCCGCCCGGCGCGCCGCCGCCCGCCGCCGCCGCCGCCGCCGCCAGCGCGGCGCTGGCGTGCTGCACCCGCTCCCTGAGGGCCGCCCCGGCCAGCGCGGGCGGGCTGCGTATGCCAACGCAGAAGTACGGGTGCTGCAGGGCCTGCACCGCGCTGGGGCGGCGCTTGGGGTCCCACTGGCACATCGCCGTCATGAGCTCCACCGCCTCTGGGCTGGCCGTGGCCACCAGCTTCGCCAGCGGCTGCGCGGCCTGCTGCGGGAAGCGAAAGCTCATCTGCGATAGGCAGGCGGCGGCGTTGGGTGGCGGCAGCATGGCGTTTGCAGGAGGTGGGGGATGGAGGCTCGGGCAGCGCTGAGTGGCAGCAGGCGGTGCAAGGAAGGCAGTGGGAAGCCCAGGGCGGGCAGCAGACTGTATGGTAAAGGCAGCTTGAAAGCAAGCCACCAGCAAGCAACCCGTTCGCTTGGGACGGCAGTCACCTGCTGCGCCAGCTGCAGTCCTTCTGGCCAGGTGGCGGCGCTGGGGGTGCCCATCACGCAGCAGATCTTGTGCAGCTCATCGGGCTGCGGTACCGGCAGGCAGGCACAACAAGCAGGCGCACACCGTGCTCAGGCCGGGCTCCCGGCATCCAGCAGGCGCCACGGCATGCAGCAGATCCAGGGCAGGGTGCAAGCCGCCGCTCACGGCGCCACGGCAAGCAGCAAGCCGCCTGCTCGCGGGCTGCAGGCGGGCCAGCCAGGGCCCAGCCAGGGCCCAGCCAGGCCCCAGCCAGGGCACAGCCAGGGCCAGCCAGGGCCCCATGTGTCCACCCGCCTCGCGCCCACCTCTGAGCTGCCCGGAAAGAGGGGACGCAGGGTGTAGAGCTCCGCCATGATGGCCCCCACGGCAAACATGTCGATGGGGGCTCCGTAGTGCGGGGAGCGCAGCAGGACCTCGGGGGCGCGGTACCAGCGGGTGGACACATAGTCTGCAGGCACAGGCGCATGGGCCCGGGGATGGGAGGGCACATGCTGGTTTATGTCCGGTTTTGGTTGGTTGGTTGCTCGGTGGGAGATGGTGGCATGTGAGTCAGGGGGAGAGGGCACAGCTTCTGCTTCCACACAGTGCAGCACCCAACTGGCTACTGCGGGTATGGGGGCTGCGTTACGGCATGTAACGGCGACGCCGGCCGGCACCCGGCAGCGGCGCTCCGCGCCGCTGCCTGGCCCCCCCACCTGTGTAGGGCGGGCGCGAGCGGATCTCTCTGGCCAGCCCAAAGTCTGCTATCTTCACTGTGTCGCGGTGCACCAGCAGGTTCTCCGGCTTCATGTCCCTGCGCCAGCGGGCACAGCGCAGCACAGCGTGGCGCAGCATGCCTGTGAGACCAAGCTGTGGTCCCTTGCTCAGGCGATGCAGACGTGCGCAGCATGGTGCCTGGCACAGCACAGCATGGGCACTGCATGCAAAGCTGGCAGCGGCAGCGGTGCTACGTGCCGCGTGGCGAGCCCAACCGGCCAACCGGCCCCCGCCTCCCCATCCCTATGCTCCACACACACTCCACCCGCAGCCCCCCACCTGTGGAAGTAGCCCTGCTTGTGCATGAAGGCCAGGCCCTGCAGGATCTGGTACGTCCAGTTGCGCACCCGGCTCTCGGCAAAGTACTTGTCGCGGTCCTTCACCATCTGGTACAGGTTGCAGTCCTGCGGTACAGCGGTACAACAGTGGAGCAGCAGTAGATACCCACGGCACGAGAACAGCAACATGGGGATATGCGACTCGTGTGTGTGGATGTGGCCGCCCCATCCCCATGCCGCAGCAGGCTGTCCAGCACGGCTTCACGGGTCAGGGCGCCTCCTGCTCTCCCCGCGGCCGCGCAATGCAGCCTAGCGCACGCAGCCCTCCCCTGCCCACCATGTACTCGAAAACGAAGAACAGCTCGTCGTTCTCGCGGATCACCTCCTTCAGCTGCACGATGCAGGGGTGGTGCAGCTTGCGCAGGCTGCGCACCTGCAGGCGTGGCAGCAGGGGCAGAGGCGGCGGAGCCCTTTAAGGCGGCACCCGGGCACGCATGCGCCCATTGGACTGTGGTGTGCGTGTGCCGCCGCCGGCCTCCTGCATGTAGCACCAGCCGAACGAAACGAGGCCTGCAATGCACCCCACTGCTGGCGCCATTCCCCAGCATGGGCCCCACACCACGCGCCTCGCGCAGTGCCAGGCACTCGTCCCACGTGTAGTATTTGCGCTTCATCTTCTTGATGGCCACCACCTCCCCCGTCTGCTTGTTCTTCGCCTTGAACACGCTGCCGTAGGTGCCGTCGCCCAGCTGCTTGGTGACCTTGTAGCGCTGCATTGCGGCCGGCGCGGTGCGCGGTGGGTGGTGCGCGGAAGTGCGGCGGGCAGGGCAGGGCCCGCGCTGCCGCCCAGCGGCGGGCCTCGGCCGGCTGGCAGGGGCCGTTTGTGTCGTCCACGACACACGGGGGAGCGCCTGGGTTGCAGAGGGGGTGCCGAAGAGCTGGGGGCGCTGCGGTCAAAGATGGCTCGCGGGGCAGAGGTGCCGGAGGCCTAGCGCGAATCCTGGAAGCACTATATAACCCCAGACAGAGTCTTTAAGCAAGCACGGAATGAGGGAGGATGAGCTGGCGTTGTCCCGCCGCCATTGGAAGTGGCAAAGCTAGGGACCCACCGCCGCCGGCTGCTCAACACTCTAGGTTTGGGCCTGTGGCGGGCAGGCCTGTGGGTCTTGCCGAGGCACTGTAGCGACCTGCTAGCGCTCACTTTAACTGTGCCGGCTGCCAGCAGGTGGGCCGTGCGGCTGGACGATCAGTGCAGATTACTATGGCGCCGTGGGAGCCCGTCCAGTTGCTGCTTCTGCCATGCGACCTCACCCACCACTGGACGCTGGCTAGCGTCCGGCTTTCGCCCCGCTGCAGCAACCCTGATTGCTCTACATGTGTTATTAGCACGTGAGGCCCAGCCCTGACCATCCTGCCGCCCCCTGCAGCCATGGCCCAATTGGACGCAGAGCCCAAGGCCCCTGTTCAGGCCCAAGGTGGGAAAGGATTGAAGCTGTCGTGTGACTGGTGTGTCAGGCAGCTGCTGCCGTGCTGCAGAGTCTGCTTGCCCATGTGCCCACACCTCTTGCTGCTGCTCGGGCTCCCTTGGCCCTCGCAGGCAGCGAGGGCGAGGCCCCTGCCGCCCTCACCCCGGCCGACGAGTCGGAGGCGGAGAGCGATCCGCCACCTGGGCTTGAGGACAGCGATGAGGCAGTCAGCGACGGGGAAGTCGGCCGCGCCGCCGGGCCGCATCAAGAAAGCTTGGCTTTGCGCATGTTCCATGCTGCGGCGCCGGCACCTGCACCCGACTCCTCTGCTGAGCTGTCCGGGATCACGGCGGAGATGGCGCGCCGCATGGTGGCGGGCGCCCCCGCGGCCGCCAACAAAGTCGCCGCCCCGCAGCCGAATCGCAGCCGGCCAGGCAAGCCGGCGGCAGGGCTGGGCGGCAGCAAGCGTGAGCGCAGCAGCCGCGTGCCCGCCGCCGCTAGCGGCCGCAGCTCGGCCAGCAGCAGCCACGATGTGGAGGGTATGCCTGACCTCTTAGTCACAGACGACGAGGAATGTGGGTGCTGGGGATCGCGCAGCGGTGGTGCTGTGGGTGAGGGGAGGCGGGACCCTCGCGTGCCTGCACGGCCGCAGCAGGATGCAGGGAGGGGTCGAGTGAAAGCCGCACCTGTGTGCCCGTCCCCACGCGTGCCTGCTGCAGGCCAGCCGTCGGCCGCGCCTGCAGACCCGCCCTTGCCGCCGCTGCCTCCCGCCAGCGACGGCGGCTCTGCCAGCGAGGACGACGACGATGCGCCGCCGCCGCTCTTGGGTGAAGGTGAATCCGACAGCGACGAGCCCATGAGCCCCACCGCTCCTGCGCTCCCGCCCGCCTCGGCTCGCGGTGCGGCTGCCCCAGCCCCGGCGCCAGCGCCCGCCAGCCGGCCTGCCTCTGCCCCCCGCGCCAGCCCAGCAGCGCAGCCAGCCGCACCCGCCGCCGCGGCGCCGCTGGCCAACGGCACAAAGCATGCAGAGGAGGAGGGGGAGGAGGACAGCGACGCGCCGCCAGACCTGGTGGACAGAAGCGGTGAGCAGCCGGGTGGCCTGCTGCTGCTCAGTCGGGCCTTGCCGTTGCAGCCGGTGTGCCAGCAAGCGGCTGCTGCCTGCCAACGGCACTCGCATGCGCTGCGCTGCGCTGCGCTGGCTCAGCCCGGCCAGCCGCTGCAGCCGACCGCCCGTGCTGCTGGCCTCACGCTCTGCTGCCTGCCCTTGGGCCGCACGCTGCAAGGCTCTGCAGACAATGAGAGCGATGGCTCGGGGGATGAGTCGGAAGGAACGCCGCTGTCAGAAGGGGAAAGCAAGGGCGACGGGACAGACGAGCCGGCCGCGCCGCTGCAGCCTAGGAGCCCGCCGGCGGCGGCCGCGTCCATGCCTGCCCGCCCGCTTGCCGCCTCCCCCTCCCCGGTGGCTCTCGCTGCCGCACCCTACGGGGCACAGTCGGAGGAGGAGGATGGGGAGGAGCCGCCGCCGCTGGCCGGCACCGATTCGGAGTCTGGCTCGGAAGGGGAGGGCGGCGATGTGGATACGCGGGGAGGCCGCGCTGCAGCAGCACCAAAGCGTGAGCCGCCGGCTGGGCTTGGCCACCTGCTTGGGAGCCGCCGGCTGAGGGCTGTTTGCTGCGCTGCCTCTCCATGGGAGAGCGCCTGCTTGCCGGGCTGCCTGCTCACACTGGTGGCCCCGGGCCGTGCCTGGCCCATGCCCCCCCGCCCCACCCACCCACCCACCCATTTGCCCGCCTGCAGCGGCCAAGCCTGCGGAAAAGCGGCCCCAGAGCGCCAACCAGGAGACTGCATTGCAGGCCGAGGCGCGGCGGAAGGCCGAGGAGGAGGCCAAGAAGCGGGAGGAGGAGAAGGAGGCGAAGCGGCAGGAGCAGGTGCAGTGTGTGGGTGTGCTGTGTGTGTGGGTGGGCCGTCTCCACGTCATAGCCCTCCCACCTGTTCTCATGTTGATGTGCCCCCTGGCCTTCTCTCCCCCTGCCGCACTTGCCGTGCAGCTGCGGAGGCAAGCAGCGGCAGAGGAGAGGAGGCGTGAGCAGGCGTTGAAAGAACTATTAGAAGGCAAGCCCCTGTCCCGTGCCGCCTGCTGGACCTGCTGCCGCCGGCGCCACTGCTGCAGCTGTCTGTGCTCGCGGCGGCTGCCTGGACAGGACTGCTGCGGCACGGCGTCACTGCTGCTGCCTGCGCCGGGCGCTGCCGCTCATGGCCGGAGCAAGATGGCTTGCTGTTGGGCAGCACTGCAGCCGGCTGGCTGACGTGCCCGCTAGCCCTTTGTCGCACCGCCCCTGCCTTGTTGATGGCTGGCTGTTGTCCTGCCTGACTGCAGAGGAGGCGCGGGAGAAGGAGAAGAAGGCCAGGGAGGCCGAGAAGCGGAAAGCAAAGAAGGAAAAGCAGAAGGCCAAAAAGAAAGCAGCTGCTGCTGCTGCTGAGCCAGGTGTGGTGCAAGTCGTGAGCGCGTGCGGCCCTGCACCAGGCTGGCAGCATGCGGATGCCGCTGCCGGCGGGCTGACCTCTCTGCCGCGCTTGCCGGCTGCTGCGCAGGCGATGATGGCGCCGGGCCCTCCTCGGCCCCCGCTGCAAACGCGGAGGCGACTTCACCCTCGGCAGCAGCAGCAGAAACGGCGGGCCCAGCCTCGCAGCCAGCCTCCCTTGACGAAGAAGCGGGGCCCTCAACAGACGGCCGTGCCTCTCCTTATGCTATACTGGAAGAAGCCTCTGCGGAATCGGCTGCCGGAGACGCAGGGCCGACCAAGCTCTCCAAGAAGCAGCAGAAGAAGCTGAAGCAGCAGCAGGCAGCCGAGGCCGCGGCCGCGGCGGCTGTGGCCTTGGTGCCGCGCACACAGCCCGGCGTCGGCAACAGCAGCAGCAGTGCCAGCAGCAGCGCGACTGCCTCGCAATCCACCAGCGCAACTGCTTCTCAATCCACCAGCGCAACTGCTTCTCAATCCACCAGCGCGACCGCCTCGCGATCCACCAGCGCAGCTGCCTCGCGAGCCGTCAGCCCGCTGGGACCCGAAATGCTGTCGCCGCCGGCCCCGGCTGCCGCTGCGGCGGCCCCCGCTGCGGCCGCGCCGCCCGCCCGCGCACCCTTGCCCACCGCTGCCGGCCCGCTTCCCGCTGGCGGCTCTGGTGCCTCCTCTTCTTCCGCTGCGGAAGCCCCCACCCCCGTCACTGTGCAGCGCCAGCAGGCTCAGAAGATGAATATCAGCGGTACCATGGCAGCCAAGCAGGTACCGCCACCTCACCTCACCTTCTGCCCCTGACTGCCCGTGCTCCCTCCCTGCCCTGCGTCCCTCCCGCCCGCCCTGGCTGCCACTCCCCGCCTGGCTTGCCCTTTTCTAATCCATGCGTGCTGCCGTGCTGCCCGTGCGTGTGTACCCGCCGCCTCCTCGCTCCTCGGGCCTGCAGGTGCTGAGCATCATCGACGCGGCAGAGGCTGCCAACGACCTCAGCCAGCTGCAGCAGGCGGTGCAGCAGGGCGTGCAGTGGGCGCTGGTCCGCGACAACCCAAACGCTACCGAGGGCGACAGAAAGCAGGTGCAGGGGGCGGGCTGCGCAGCCTGCTGGCGGGCGGCGCAGGGTGCAGGGCGGCGTGCTGAGGGTGCGGCGCAGGGTGGCCGGCCTGCCCGGCACGGCTCCATGCCTGTGTGCATGGCTGGGGATGGGAGGCGGTGTGTGGGGGTGGGATGAGGATCTGCAGGAGCTGAGCCTGTGCCGCTCGCCGCTGTGGGCCACCCGCGCTTTGCTCCCGCGCCTGCAGGTCAGCCAGCGATTGAAACAGACCAAGCACCTTTTGCGGGAAATGATGTCTCGGATGAAAGGCGGCGGCGCCGGCGGCTCGGCCAGCGGCGGCGCCCCCTCCACCCCCGCCAGCGCCGCCCCCAGCGCCGCAAGCCGCGCCGCGCCGGCGGCCGCCCCCGCGCTGCTGCCGGGCATGCCGCTGCCGCCCGGCGCGGCCGCTGCCGCCGCGGCCGCCGCCGGGCGCGGGCGCGGGCGCGGCGCGTACAACCCCTTGGCAGCCGGCGGCGCGGCCGCACCCCGTCCGGCGTACAACCCCTTGACTGCCAACGGGCAGGCCCTGGCCCCGCAGAGCTTCATCCAAGGTTATGCACCCCCCAGGCCGCCAGCTGGCGCGGCAGCCGCCGCGCGCGGGCCCGGCAACCTGCCTGCCATGCCGGTGCCTGGCCGGGGGCGGGGCGGGGCGCCCGGGCGTGGCGGCTACCGCCCGCCCGGCATGGCGTACCAGCCGCCGCCGGGCTTTGGGACCCGGGTGCCCGCCCCTCCGCAGTACGGCACCCCCCAGTACAGCGTGTGGCTGCAGCAGCAGCAGCAGGCGGCCGCGGCGGCGCAGCGCGCGGCGCAGGCGCGTGGCGGCGCGCCGCTGCCCCCCGGCGGCGCCGCCTCGTCCGTCAAGTGGGAAGCCCCCGCCATGCCCCAGGGCTTTGAGCGGGTGAGTGCTTTGCCAGCCGGCTGCCCGTACGGCTCCCGGCCTGGCCGTGCTCCCGTCCGCTCGTTGCACCCCACCCCCCACCTTCATCCGGATGCACACACCTGCGCCCTCCCCGCCACCCTCATTTCTTACGTTTTTTTTTTTTCTTCCTTTCCTTGCTTTCATTTTCTTTCCTTTCTGCAGAGTGAGTCGCAGGCGGGCATGAGCGCCAGCGCCAGCGCCTCCTCCCTCGAGGAGCCTGATGAGGATGAGTGCATCGTGTGCATGGCGGCAGAGAAGAGCGCGGGTGGGTGTTGCCGCCGCCGCTGCTGCTGCTGCTGCTGCAGGCTGGTGCTCATGGCTGATGCTTGTTGGGCTGAGGCCCTGCTCTGCTGATGCGCCGGCACTCCTCGCTGCTCCTGCTGCTTGCTGTGCCCGCTTGTCGCGGGGCCGCCGCTGTGGTGGTGGCGTGGAGGGGTGCTGACGTGGCGGCTACCTGCCGGCCACGCCCTCTGTGCTTGCAGTCTGCCTGCCGTGCGGCCACCGCAACATGTGCAGCGCCTGTGCCAAGGAGTTTGTTGAGAAGAGGTGGGCAGGGGCTGCCGCTCACAGGAGTTTCCGCTGCACACGTGTTGCCGCTGCACACGCGCCCGTGATGCACGCATGGCTGCATCTGCCCTGTCGCATGCCGGCACGCCCTTGCGCCGCACCCCGTGGGCTGGGGCGCCAGCTGGCCTGCTGGAGGCCTTGCACCGCTCGCGTGCTCGCTCCAGCTCCCTGAGCCGGCCAACTGCCCGCCCACCCCCGCCCTCCCGCCCACCCTGCCGCAGCCACACGGAGTGCCCCGTGTGTCGTGTCGTGCTGGAGGGCATCTTCTTGATAGACCAAGGCAAAACCATCCCTGTTCCCAAGGGCTGACACCGCCAGCATCGGCTCCTTGGAGGCCATGGGGCGCGATGGCGTCTCCAACCGCCGCCCTCGCCTGGCTCTCCCCTCAGCTCCTGCTCCGCCCCTCCCGCCCTGTTGCAGCTGCACCCCCTGCCCTCTGTCCATACCTTGACTGCCTTTCATTTCTGTCTTTAACCAGTCGGTGTCAACCAACTCTTCACATGCTAACAGTAGTGAAAGCAGAAGAGGGGGGCTGCCTGGCAGAGCATGAGGCCCTCGACGGGCGCTGCATCATTTTGTGCGCAGCGGGGACTGGCCCCCGCGGTTCAGCTTATTGTACGACAGCAACAGGGGGATCAGGACATCTGTGATCAGTCTGAGAGAGGCTCCTGCACCCGTAAGCCAGGCTGATTAGCGGCAACCCACAGCCAGGGGGCATGCCACGCTGTGGCGGCGGCACACCGTGACGGGATGGAAAGCAGCCCCAGCTGGCTCAATTCCGCTCTTCTGCGGCTATCAGGCGCAGCGCATTGAGCCTCGATCGTCACGTGCGCCAGCTGATCCCCAGCAGGCCAGCCCGGCCCAGCTTTTTCAAACTCTTCCAAACGTTCTTGGCTCGCCATCGGCCCGCGGCACGCCCCGATTCGCCATGGATGAGCAGAGCGAGCTGCGCCTCGAGCTGAAGCGCGACTTCACCGAGTTCCTCGATCAGGATTTTGGCAGGGAAACTGGGCAGGGGCGCTATGTGCAAAAGGTGGACGACCTCCTCAAACAGTACCCGCAGACCAAGCGCGTGCGGCTGCCGGTGGACCTGCAGGGTGAGCGGTGGCAGGGGACAGCAGAGGACAGCAGGTGGCGGCGCATGGGCGTCAAGGCGACGGCTGCCCCTGGGAGGCCCCAGCGCCTCTCCCTGCGCGCCTGCACCGCCCAGGCGTCGAATCAATGCGCGCCGTCCCGCTGCCGCAGACCTTTCCGACTACAATGCCGAGCTGCACCGCCGGGTGCTGGACGCCCCTGCCACCTGCATGCCGCCGTTTGAGGAGGCCCTCGAGGACTTCATCCGCAACCGCTCGCCCAAGGTGCCCGCCAATATCACAGCATGGGAGCTGGGAGCAGGCAGCAGAGGCAGGCTGCTGCGGGGGCCGGCGCGCAGCGGGCGCAGCGCTCGCGGGAGACGCCCGGCGCAGCGCGAGCGCGCCGACACACTCATGCTTACTGGTCCTCGCCGCCGGCTGACTCGGCGCGGCTGCCTGTGGCGTGTTCCTCCCCTTCCTTCCTTCCCTGCTGCCGCAGCTGCTGGAGGAGGCGCAGCGCGTGCACGTGTCCTTCTGCGGAGAGTTTGGCCGCAACACCACCAACCCTCGCGACCTGGGCTCCGGGGTGCGGCGGCGGCTCGGCGGCCGTGGGCCTGCTTGTTACACGAGCGGCAGCGGGGCCGGGCTGTGATGGGGCCGGCGGCGGGGTCGCAGGAAGCATGCAGCTGCATGGCAGCTGCAGGCCTGGCCTGCCGCATGCCGCCATACCCACATAGCTCCTTCCCCTCAACGCTCCCTGCGCCCCCTGAACCGCCCGTCCACCTCCAACCCCTGCCCGCTGCCCCCCCACACGCACACGCCGCGCTGCAGTTCCTGTCCAAGCTGGTCAACCTGCAGGGCATCGTGACCAAGTCCAGCCTGGTGCGCCCCAAGCTGGTGAAGAGCGTGCACCACTGCCCCGCCACCGGCCAGTTCCAGAGCCGAGAGTACCGGGATGTTACCTCCAACACAGGCGCCCCCACCTCCACAGCCTACCCCACCAAGTGAGCTTGGCGGCAGCGCAGCCCCCGGGCCCACCCTAGCCAGCCAGGCAGCCGGCCGCGCCCTGGCTGCGCGTCCGCTTCCCGCTCCTGCCCCCCACACACGGCTCACCTCGCCCACTCACCTCCCTGCTGCCCTACACGCCGCCAGCCCACACCTCTTTGGCACCAGCCGCTCACGGCACACATCTCAGCGCCCCACACCTCCAGCACCCTGCCATGCTCGCCCCCCAGCACCTGCCACCCCGCCGCCCTGCCATGCTCACCGGCCTGCCGCCTGCCACCCCGCCTGCCTGCCTCATCGTCGCAGGGATGAGAACGGCAACCTGTTGACCACACAGTTTGGCATGTCCACCTACGTCAACAACCAGACCGTCACCCTGCAGGAGCTGCCGGAGACGGCGCCCCCCGGCCAGCTGCCGCGCTCCGGTGAGCGGGCGCCTGACGCCCAGCGCTGCGCGCGCTGCCTGCCCGCCTGCCGCGCACGCTGCCACGCCTGCCTGCCTACATCCGCACCCTCACATGCCCCTGGGAGCCCCCCCCCCCACGCTCCCGTTCCCTCTTCTCTCCATGCCTGCGCACGCCCTCACCGCCCCCCTCCTCAAGACACGACCTCACCTGCACGCCCCCCCATCACACGCCCTCACCTGCCACCCTTCCCGCCCTTCTCCACCCCCCCCAACCACACACCCTCACCTCCCCCCTGCAGTGGAGGTGGTACTGGAGGACGACTTGTGCGACGCCTGCAAGCCGGGGGACCGCGTGTCCATCGCCGGCATCTACAAGCCCGTGCCGCCGCGCGCCAACGGCTCCGTCAGCGGTGGGCTGGGTGGGATTGAGTAGCGGGGAGATCAGTCTAGTGTTTCTGTTACGCCCTCCCCTGCTGGCCGCGCTGCCGCCTGTCAGTCAGGGTGTAGGGGTTGCCACCCCACGCCCCTGAGAGGCCAGCCCTCCCACCTGCCACCTCGCCAGCCCGCCTGCTGGCCAGCCCTGGCCGTGCCTGGCCGGCGGCCGCCGGCAGCAACGCCTCATCCCCTCCTGCCCTTGCGTCTGCCTCCCTGCCTACACCCTCTGCGCGCCACCTGCCCACACACCAGACCCCCACCACCCCCTGCAGGCGTCTTCCGTGCCGTGGTGGTGGCCAACGGCGTGCGCAAGCTGTCGCGCGATGCCCAGGGCCCCTCCTTCACTGAGGAAGACTACGACAACATCACGGTGAGGGAGGGAGGGGCGGTGCTGGTGTGTGTGTGTGTGTGCGTGTGTGCCTGCCGGGTATGGTTGGTGTGTGCATGCGCGCTGGTTGGCGGTGGTTGCTGGTGCACATGGGTGGCATGTGGTGGCGGCTGACCCCCGAGGGTAGCTGGCGTGTGCGCCCAGCAGCCGGCAGCGGGCGGGGCCCGGCCCGGCCCGCCTTGTGCCCTGGCCGCGCCCTTGGTGCCACCGTGCGCCGCACCAACCTCCCTTTACTGCCCCACCCTCTTACGCCGCCCTCGCGCCACCCCCTTACACCCGCGTGCAGGAGCTGGCTGGGGAGGAGGATGTGATGGCGCAGCTGGGCGCCAGCCTGGCGCCCTCCATCCACGGCCACGACATCATCAAGCGGGCGCTGGTGCTGCTGCTGGCGGGCGGGCGCGAGCGCACGCTGGCCAATGGCACCCACCTTCGCGGAGACATCAACTGCCTCATGGTGGGCTGGGCTGGTGTTGGGTGTGTGTGTGGGGGGGGATGGTGGGCCGGGCCGGGCGCCGGGCCTGGCCGGGCGCAAGGCGCGGGCTCCTGTGCCTGAACCAGCCAGTAGGCGATGCGGGGCCGGGAGGGGCTCTTGCACCCAGCCCCAGCCTGCCTGCGCAGCCAGCCACGCCGGCGTCCTCGCCCTCCCGCTCTCGCATGCACCGGCCCTCCCACCCTGCAACCCCTGCCAACCACCCCACCGCCGCTCACCGCCCTCGGCCTGCAGGTGGGCGACCCCGGCGTGGCCAAGTCCCAGCTGCTGCGCGCCGTCATGAACATCGCCCCGCTCAGCGTCTCCACCACAGGGCGCGGCTCCTCGGGCGTCGGCCTCACCGCCGCCGTCACCACCGACGCAGAGACGGGTGCGGCGTGGCAGCTTCCCCCGCCACCTCTCCCGCTGCCCTGCTGCCACCCCGCTGCCCGGAGTGCCAGCCTGGCCCGCTGTGCTGCCCGCCCCGCTGCGCCCCGTGCCACGAAGCTGGTGCTGTGGCACAGCCCTCCCGCTGCCCCAGCTTCATGCCTGGGCCTGGCGCCGACAGCCTCCTTGCTGTCTCCTCCTTGTCAGCCCCCGGCTCCTCCCTGCTGCCCCTCCCTCTGACAGCCTCCTTGCTGTCTCCTCCTGCCCCCACCCACCTCCCTCCACACACTGGTGCTGTTGCCCTCCTCGCCCGCAGGCGAGCGGCGGCTGGAGGCCGGCGCCATGGTGCTGGCTGACCGCGGCGTGGTGTGCATTGACGAGTTCGACAAGATGAACGATGCAGACAGGGTGGGCGGCGGGGCGGGCGGTGGCAGACAGGGTGGGCAGCGAGGCGGGTGGCGGCAGGGCGGCGTATCCGGTGTGCGCGTGTGTGGGCTGGGGATGTGCATGGCTGGGGATGGGTGGTGTGGGTCGGTGGGTGGTGGTGTGTTTGCGTGGTGTGGGTGTGCGTGGGTGGCGGTGGTGGCGAGGGCGCCCGCCCCTTTCCGGCCGCCTTCCTCAGCCGCAGCTCAGCTCCATCCAGCCGGCCCCCCGCTCCCCTCCCCTCCCCTCCCCGCCAACCACACCAACCACAGGTGGCGATCCATGAGGTTATGGAGCAGCAGACGGTGACGATCGCCAAGGCGGGGATCATGTGCTCACTGAATGCCCGCTGCTCCGTGGTGGCGGCGGCCAACCCCATCTACGGCTCCTACGACCGCACCATCTCCATCACCCGCAACATCGGCCTGCCCGACTCCCTCCTCTCCCGCTTCGACCTGCTGTTTGTGGTGCTGGACAACAATGATGCGGCGAGGGACAGGGAGGTGCGTGGTTGGCGCGTGGTGGCGGGTGCCGTGGTGGCGGCGGTGTGGCGTGCCGGCGTGGGCAGGACGAGCGCTTTGTAGGGCGGTGGTGGTACTGTGGCAGGCATGGGGCCTGCTGGTCTGGCTCCCCAGCCTCCTCCCTCCTGCCCACCGGCACCAGGGTGAAAGGTTTCCTGGCACCACCCGCCTGCCTGCCTCCCACCCTCCTCCCCGCAGATTGCGGAGCATGTGCTGGGGCAGCACCGCTACCGCGCCCCCGGGGACGACGGCAAGAACGCCGGCGACGATCGCTACATCGAGAAGTGAGGCGGGGGGCGGGGGGGGGGGGGGGGGGGGGGGGCCAAACCCCCCCCCGCCCCCCTTGCCCCCGGCGGTGGC